ACGCCGGGAAGATTTCGCGTATTTCTTCCCGAGTCGGTGCCGTCGCCGGGACGTTCACCTTCCCGGGGACAATGGCAGTCTTTATTGGATCAACATCTTCCCGGGCCAACGGCATCGCGTGACGAACGAGAAGAGCATTCATCGGGTTGCGAGAAGAGTTGAATGTTGATTTGCGTACGGAAGTAACTGGCGTTGCATTTCCAGCAACATAATGAGGTTGTGTGACGGTCTCTTCAGCTGATACTGAAAGAGACATCATGAGTAAAACGATCGTGACAAACAGAACTGATTTTTGAATGGAAGCGTTCATCTTGAATTTGCTCCTGAAGAAATGTGATGGTTGATTTGAGTCTTTGAAAGGTTGTTGAGAGGAGGTTTTGTCAAGTGGTAACGGTTGTCGCCCCTTTAGCGATTGCTGAGGATTGTCCGATTTCACTGGCTTTCATAGCTTCCGCCAGTTCTCCGCGAAGAACTCTGACAGAAGCGGGAGCATCTACTCCAATCTTGACTTTGCCACGACCACATGAAATCACTTTGACAACAATGTTGTCTCCGATTTGAATCGTTTCATCTTTTTTTCGAGTGAGAACTAGCATTTTTCTTCCTTATCCTTGGAAAAAGTGTCAAGTTTTGAACTTCTGAGTGGCTCAATTGGTCTTGACTCCCAATTTCACCTGACATGCTTTTTGTATTGCATCTGCCGTGCCAAACTCCTTGACAACAGAGACTCAATGCACACAAGTCCTTTGAATAAATAGACATGTGGAGATAGATTTCAACAAGGACTCGCTTGTGATTCGCTAGCTTTTGTAATTGATGCAAGATTGCCGTGTCGCGTCACGGAGTCTTTACAATGAGCAGGCGTACTCACTATGAGACAACCGGCAAGAGATGCCGAATAGGAAGCCTTGAGAATGTATCACTAATGCGACACATTGGAGGATTGTGTTGACGGGCGTTCAGTATTCCTGCGGGGCTCTTAATATGGAGAGACCCTCCATTCTGTTGATGCGTTCTGCTCTGACTTCAGTTAAAAAACGAAACTGCTGAAATTCCTTTCTGGATCATAGAACTCTGCCATGAAAATCCGCACCGGACTAGGTCACGATACGCATCGCCTGACAGAAGGCAAAGTCCTTAAAATCGGTGGAATCGAAGTCCCTCACCATTCAGGCCCGGAAGCTCACAGCGACGGAGATGTTCTCCTGCATGCTGTCACTGACGCTGTCTTAGGAGCCCTCGCCTGGGGAGACATCGGAGAATGGTTCCCCGATAACGACCCTCAATACGCTGGAGCAGATTCCTCAGAGCTATTGACTCAGGTCATGCAGAAGGTGCATGCGGAAGGCTGGGTGGTCAGCAATGCCGATTGCATTCTCTTCGCGCAAAAGCCGAAACTTTCCCCTTATAAGAAAACAATCGCTGAGAACGTTGCTCATTTATTAAAAGTGCAACCGGACCAAATCAGCGTCAAAGCCAAAACAGGCGAGAAAGTCGGACCGATCGGACGAGAGGAAGCCATCGCTGCCGAAGTCGTCATATTAATGATGCACCCAGATGAGAAATGAACTTCACCGGAACTCACCGTGTCGCAGGGAGTGAAGTCTGAATGGTGACCCTTTAAACTGTCCAACCTCATTAATGTCTTCAAAACCATCCACATGACTGTGGACCTTCATACAACTACTTACAACACGTCAAAACTTATGCCAACATATCATCCACAACAAATTGAAGCAAAGTGGCAAAAATTCTGGGACGAGAACCAGACGTTTCAGGTCTCCAACGAACCGCAACCAGACTCTCAAGGGAAAATGTACGTCTTGGACATGTTTCCTTACCCCTCTGGGTCGGGACTTCATGTGGGCCACCCCGAAGGTTATACAGCGACGGACATCGTCTGCCGTTACGCCCGCATGCAGGGGAAACATGTCCTCCACCCCATGGGATGGGACGCCTTCGGCTTACCAGCGGAACAGCATGCGATTAACACGGGAACCCACCCGCGAGTCACCACCTACCAGAACATCGACAACTTCCGTCGCCAGTTGAAGATGCTCGGCTTCAGCTACGACTGGAGCCGCGAAATCTCCACGACGGACGAAGACTACTATCGCTGGACCCAGTGGATCTTCCTCCAGTTGTACGATACCTGGTATGACCCAGACTTCGAATGGGTTGATGCAGAAGGCAAGCAAAGAACAGGCAAGGGCCGTCCCATCTCCGAACTTCCGATTCCGGAAAATGTGGTTGAGACACATTTGTTAGCTGGTGATCCAGCAGGAGACGTCGCTGTCGCCACCCGTCGTTATCAAGACAGCTTGCGCCTCGCCTATCAAAGCGAAGCCCCGGTGAACTGGTGCCCCGCTTTGGGAACAGTTCTCGCCAATGAAGAGGTGACCGCCGAAGGGCTTAGCGAACGGGGAGGCCACCCCGTTGAACGTCGAGCATTGCGACAATGGATGTTGCGCATCACCGCCTATGCGGAACGGCTTCTTACAGAGTTAGATGGTGTCGATTGGCCGGAATCCGTAAAAATCTTGCAGCGAAACTGGATCGGAAAAAGTGTCGGGGCCGAAGTCGATTTCTTTGTCGATGACAATGATTCTTCTAACTCAGAATCTTTCGCCGACTGGAAAGCACAACGCGCAGCGAACGGATTGCCCAAGCAAGCTGAGCCGAATGTATTACGTGTCTACACCACTCGACCAGACACGTTGTTCGGAGCAACCTATATGGTCGTCGCTCCCGAGCATGATATTGTCGATCAGATCACAACCGAGGAACAACGCGCCGCCGTTGAGGAGTATCGACGTAAGGCAGCTTTGAAAAGTGACCTCGACCGCACCGATCTTGCCAAAGAGAAGTCCGGTGTCTTTACCGGGGCGTATGCCATCAACCCGGTCAATGAAGCACGAATTCCAATCTGGATCGCAGATTACGTTTTGATCAGTTATGGAACAGGCGCCATCATGGCGGTCCCAGCCCATGATGAACGTGATCTTGAGTTCGCCCAGACTTTTGATATCCCTGTCATCGAAGTTGTTGATTCAGGCAGCGACGATGTCGAAAACATCGGATTCACCGGTGCCGGGACAGCGATCAACTCCGGCAAGTACAACGGAACGCCCACAGACGAATTCAAAACTCTCATCTCAGAAGAGTTGAATGCTGCCGGGCTCGGTAAATCGGCGACGAACTACCGCTTGCGGGACTGGTTGTTTTCGCGTCAACGTTATTGGGGTGAGCCCTTCCCGATCTGGCATGAGCTTGATGAGGAAGGCAATCTCACGGGACTCATTTGCCCGGTCGAAGACAACGAATTGCCGGTCACCTTACCAGAGATGGACGACTTCAAGCCAAAAGGGACTCCCGATCCTCCGTTAAGTTGGGCTCCTGACGAATGGCTCTATAAGACAGCAGAAGATGGAACTCGCTTGCGCCGTGAAACCAACAGTATGCCGCAATGGGCAGGCAGTTGCTGGTATTACTTACGCTTCGCTGACAATAAAAATGGTGACTTCTTCATCGATCCCGAGGTCGAGAAGTATTGGTTGCCCGTCGACCTCTACATCGGAGGTGCAGAACATGCGGTGTTGCACCTCTTGTATTCCCGCTTCTGGCACAAGGTCTTATTCGATCGTGGTCATGTTTCAACAGCGGAACCATTCCAGAAGTTGATCAACCAGGGAATGATCCTGGGTGAGAACAACGAGAAGATGTCAAAGTCACGCGGCAACGTGGTGAACCCCGACGATGTCGTCCGCGACTTCGGTGCAGACTCTCTTCGCCTCTATGAAATGTTTATGGGACCACTCGATCAGGTCAAACCGTGGAGTACCAAAGGAGTGGAAGGTGTGCATCGCTTCCTTGGGCGCGCCTGGCGTTTGATTGTTGATGACCAGGTTGAAGAGACGACACTGCGACAGGAAGTACAAGATGCCGACTTGAACGAGGAACAGGCCCGCGTCTTGCATCGCACGATCAAAGGTGTCACTGAGGACATCGACAAACTCGCCTTCAATACTGCCATTAGCAAAATGATGGAGTTCACGAATTACTTCACCGGTCAACAAGTCCGGGCGAAGTCTGCCATGGAATCCTTCGTGTTATTGCTCGCTCCCTTCGCTCCGCACATCGCTGAAGAGTTGTGGCAAGTCTTGGGGCACAATGAGTCGTTGACCTATGCCCCCTGGCCAGAATTCGACGAAGCAAAGATTGTGGAAGCAGAAGTGGAATTGCCCGTTCAAGTGAATGGAAAACTCCGCAGCAAAGTCAAAATGCCCGTCGATGCTGATCAGGCAACAATGCAGCAACTCGCCGAGGCAGACGAAGCGATTCAAGCTCAATTGGAGGGCAAAAACGTCGTGAAGGTGATCTGCGTTCCCAAGCGAATGGTCAACTTCGTCGTTAAAGGTTGATACTCAACATTAGTTCAGCAGGACAATTCAAGTCTCTGGCAAAGAGCTTGTTGAGTTCTAGTTTTCACACGGATTTGCATCGCATCCATTGGCGCATTGTCGCTTAGCGGTATCCTGAACGGCGTCTACGATCTTGTCATAGCCTGTGCAGCGACATAGGTTGCCTGCCAAATAGAATCGGATTTCCTCCTCCGTCGGGTTCGGGTTTTCTCGCAGCAATGCTTTGGTAGACATAATAAATCCGGGAGTGCAAATGCCACATTGAAGGGCGGCATTCTCCAGGAAGGCATTCTGAATGGGGGCCAGACCATCCTTCTCAGCGACTCCCTCAATGGTTTCGATTTCAGCCCCTTCAGCTTCCACAGCGAGGACAAGGCAACTGGTGACCGGCTGCCCATCCATGAGCACGGTGCAAGCTCCACAATTCCCGTTGCTGCAACCTTCTTTCGTTCCACTTAAATCCAGGTTGTAGCGCAAGACCTCCAGCAGCGTTTGCCGTGGCTCACATAAAAAAGATTTTTCAGTTCCATTCACGGTGGTCGTGACGACGCGTTGCTTTGCCATGTGACGAACTTTCTGAAAAGGCAGAGTAATATGAAACTGTAGGATGAATTACGAATTAGCTCGCTGAGCCGCTTCTGTTAAAACTCGCTTGACGAGCACGCCGGTGACATGCAGGCGGAATTCTACTGTTCCACGGTGATCATCAATGGGTGAGATCAAACTCCTGGCGATCTCACCAGCTTTGGTGAACGCCTCTTCTGTGGCCGGTTGACCAATCAGAGCGTCGTTGACCTGTGTTGCCAGAAAGGGAGTCGCTGCCACGGCACCAAGCCCCACTCGGGCAGCAGTGATGGTTTCTTTGTTCTCATCCAGCGTCAGGCTGGCACCGACTCCCACAACTGCGATATCCATTTCGTATCGAGGGATGAATCGCTGATAATGGCTGCCGGAGTTTTCAACCGGTTTTGGGAAACCAATTTCCGTCAGCAGTTCGCCAGGCTTGAGAACATTCTGGCTGGGACCTGTGCAAAACTCTTCAACGGGAACTTCTCTGGTTCCGCCTGCTCCTGAGAGATGACAGACTCCACCGAGTGCGATCACGGCTGGAGTCGAATCAGCCGCTGCCCCTGAGTTACAAATGTTTCCACCCACGCTGGCGCGTGATTGAATTTGTATTCCACCAATGATCGAGCAAACATCAACCAGGGCTGGGTAATGCTTGCGAATATTTTCATCAGAGCAAATCTGACGGCAACTGACAGCGGCCCCGAGTCTGAGACCGTTCTCATTAAACTCAAGGGTGTTCAACTCAGGAATGTTCTTGATATCAACAACGAGGTCAGCCTCAACACGTCCGGTTCTGAGGTGATCGATCAAGTCGGTCCCACCAGCCAAAGGACGACTGTTCGGTTGGGAGAGCAATTCAATCGCTCCGGAGAGTGAATCAGGGGATTCATATTCGAAATCACGCATAGTTCTGTTGCCCAATGAAAAGAGCTGATCCATTATCTGATCAGAACATAACTTGTCGGGACAGAATTTCCAATCAACTGTGACCACTGATGGGTCCACACAACGAGTCGGAACTCAAGATTGCTGTTCAGCAGGCTGTGTATCTTTTAGCTGTTGGCGCAGTTTCTCTTTGAATTGATCGCACTCTTCGGGGGGTGTGGTGCACATCTCACAGACAGAACGGCCTTCTTCATCTTTGGTCCCTTCCACGCCGCCGCAGCTACCTTTCAACGTTTTGTTGGAGAGAATCACCCCCGCTGCCAGACCGATAATGGCAATCAGGAAGACGGTGACAGAGAGCAGGAACGTTGAAAGTAATGGTGACATGCCTGAGTCCTCGGCCGTTTCAACCTGTGTCAAACTGACGAATTCTCCTATTGCCGTTTGTGAAGCGAGTTCCCGAAAGGCCTCTCCATTTCTTTCCAGAAGGTAGGCTTGAATGCCATGTTCGTCTGCCAGCTTGAGGCCAGCCTCACTTCCCAGAACCATGAGCGTTGTGGCCCAGGCGTCAGCCAGCATGCAGTCTTCCATGACCACAGAAACAGAAGCGAGCTGGTGGGTGACTGGGCTGCCTGTTCGGGGGTCAATGGTGTGTGAGTACCGTTTGTCATCTTGCACAAAGTAGTTGCGGTAGTCCCCCGAGGTGGCGAGAGCTTCATCTTCTAACTCAATCGTGGCATAAAGACTTTGTGTCAACGAATCGGGTCGTTCGATACCTAGGTTCCACTGGCCGCCAGATGGCCTCCTGCCAGCGACTCTTACCTCACCGCCGATTTCAACCATGTAATTCTCGATCTCATTCTCTCTCATAATCTGAGCCAGCTGATCGACCCCATAGCCTTTGGCAATCGCTGACAGATCGAGTTCAACCGCTTCCTGTTTCTTGCGCAATGCTGGAGGGTCTGACTGAACTTCGATGTGTTGATACCCGACTGATAACATGGCATCAGCAACATCTTCAGCCGCGGGAGCCTTCAGCGAACCTGGATCGGGGCCAAAGTTCCACAGTCTGACCAAACGCCCCACTGTCGGATCGAATGCTCCTTCTGAGGTCTGTGCCATTTCCAAAGCGGCAGCGACCACCGTTGAGGTCTCCTGAGAAACCGGGAACCATTCCTTTGAATCGAATCGGTTGAAGCGAGAAAGTTCAGAGTTTGGATCGTAGGTGGACATCAGCTGATTGATTTCAAGCAACCGCTCCTCAAACTGCAATTTCAAATCATCAGTTACTGAATCATCACCGTCCCATTTCACATGGTATGTTGTACCCATCGTCTCGCCGCGAAAGGTATGTAGCACTTCATCCCCAGCATGCACGTATTGAGAAACAAACAGGGTCAGAATAAGTAGATTGGATAATGAGAGTGCGAAGGGCATATGTTCACATTGTCTGTTGAGTAAGTCGAAGTGACTCTCTTGTTTTTCGAGACAGTCTACTTCTAAATAGTTCGGAAGCTCCAACTCCCGATTAAGTTGACATCCTGCCAAGGAATCAACTTATATGAAGTCATCATATCTGATCTTTTCCGCGCGGGCAGGTTCGTCTGTTCTCAATTCTTGATGTTGCAAAACCTCACGCGTTGTCATTCGACAACCTTGATGTCCTGTTATCGAAACATCTCTCGAAAAGGCTCTGGTAAGATGTTCTGACTGGGGATTCTGTAACAGACTACTATCAAGCAGTTTATGTGCAGTTCACTGTTTTTCAAAAATAGACTGTTGTGAAAGGGTACGACCTTTGCCAATTTGGCGAGCATGATCAAGTTCGCCAATAAAACCCTGCCGTATACCGAACGCATTTATATCGCGTTTCGAATTGCCTTTCTGGAAACTCAGGAGCGTCTGATCCTGGCTGAGCAGATGGACTTAGGCTCCCATCGGGCCTTTGGATTTCTGACGCAGGTTCCGTTTTTGAAATGTGTTCCTGCCCAGGTGCAACTTGATTTGCTCCTCAATCTCTGGGACAAGCATTTGTCGAAACAGGAATATACCGCGAGTTACTTAGATGAGGCGATCATCTACGCGGCCTGTGAGGCAACCGCCAGTCTGATGCGATCTGACCCGGAACATGCTCAACAAATCACTCAGTCTGGTCCCCTGAGGAGTTCGTTTAATATCTCAGGCAACACAGCTGCACAGTTTCAACAACTTCATCTTGATTTTGCCGGCGAAGGTCATTTCCTGTTAATCAGCCAATGTCAGGACTTACCACCCGAAGAGGCGACAGAATTCAAAACGAAATATGGAATCATTGATGGACGCTGTGACAGCCTGTTCGATGCATTGTCTCGCTGGCATGTTCAAGCCGGTGTCGAGGAACGAGCGATGGGCTTATTGACAGACGAAGAAATTGCCGACTTGAGCAGTTTACCCGATTTCAGTCATGTCAGCGGAAAAACCCTTCGATAAAGAGATTGTGAAGATTGAATTGACTACTCAACAAATCTGCCTGCAGGTCAGAAATAACAATTGCAATTCAATTGTCATTCTGATTTAATACGTCAAGTTAATTTCGGAAGTGATTTTGTCGTGGCTCCCCGCGTTCAGTTTCAAGGCCTTTCTTTGCCAGAACGAACGCTCTCGGTTCTCATCTACAAAGCACCCGTGTTTTAGTTTTAGGGAATTTTGAGTTGCTTTGTTTGATGTCGGGCGAGACTCAGCCGATTCGGCTCTCTCTCATTGTTACTTCTCTTCGATCCAGATTCGCTGATCTGATCTTTCTTGCTATGACTATCAGTTGTACAAGCGGTTCAGCAAAGAGTTTTCTACCTGGTCAACGATTAGATTCCGTCAATCACTCAATTCATCACATTCAGGTGGTGTCAGGTTAGTTCGCAGTGATTGAGACGTTGCTTTATCTCATGTTGATGATTGCTTTGCTCGTTGTGCGATGGTCGCAGTTTCATTTGCTGGAGGCGCAAAACGCTTCTGGCCAATTCAAACATTGCTGTCACTGCAATGGGTTCCCTGATCTCCTATCTCAAATTTTCTTCAGTCGAACGGCTGATCTGAATACATTCTGGAAACAAATGCAGGTGCTGAGACGTTTCAGCCCCGTTTGTATGACTTCCGGTTTCTCGCCAGATGGTCTCTCACAGCGAGAGTTCAATTTGAGAAGCCAAAACTTTTTATTTTTTGGAGAGTGCTGAAATGACCACTGGTCGCATCCGCAAACTGACAGACAAAGGCTTTGGATTCATCGAAACTGACAAGGGAGATCTTTTCTTCCACATGTCTGCTTTAGACGGAGTCCGTTTCGAAGATCTGTCAGAAGGACAAGAAGTTGAGTTCGAACGAGGCCAGGGCCCCAAAGGTCCTCGCGCAGAGAAGGTTGCAGTCGTTGGTTAATGCTAACACTCAATCGAAATGATCTATTCGAACGCGGAAAACTCTTAGTTCAGGAATCGATCATTGCGGATTCATAAACAGGGAACTCAGCCAACTTGGCTGAGTTCCCTGTTCTTTTCAACAAATGAACGGTGATGGGGCGGTTCGTTCAATTTATTCAAACGAGTGAATGAGCTCTCTGATCTGACTCAACTCATCTAGTATCTGTGGCAAGTCTTCCAAGTGGACTTGGTTCGGACCGTCACTGAGCGCTTTATTTGGTTCGGGGTGTGTTTCCATGAAAACCCCATCGCATCCGGCAGCGACGGCTGCTCGGGCGAGGAAGGGGACCATTTCTCGGTTCCCACCCGTGGTCGTTCCTCCCGGACGTTGCACACTGTGAGTTGCATCGTAAATGACAGGGCAACCCATTTCCTGCATGATGGGAATCGCCTGAAAGTCATTGACGAGCCGACCGTAGCCGAAAGTTGTTCCCCGCTCGGTCAGTAAAATGTCATCCTGTCCACTCGCTGCGCACTTATTGACTGCGTGAATGACATCTTCAGGAGCGATAAATTGCGGCTTCTTAATATTAACGACTCTTCCATGTTTGGCCGCGGCCTCAGCTGATGCGACGACTAAGTCAGTCTGTCGCGCAAGAAAGGCGGGGATTTGTAGAATGGAACAGACCGATGCCACCGCTTCCGCCTGTTCTGGAGCATGCAGGTCGGTTGTTACGGGGAGTCCCGTTTCATCCCGAACGAGATCCAGAATTTCAAGCCCTTTGTCCAGACCTGGGCCGCGATAGCTGTCGATACTGGTCCGGTTTGCCTTATCGAAACTCGCTTTAAAGACGAGTTGCAGGTCCTGTGAACTTGCGATGTCTGCCAGTCGTAATGCAATTTCTCGAACCGAAGATTCGCTTTCAATGACACAAGGGCCAGCGATGATTAACAACTGTTTTCCCGGTCCACATTCATAGGGACCGATATGAACAGGGAGGTTAGGCATGAGACTTCCGTTTCTCGGATAGAGAGTAAATATTCTGTAACCGTTCAGCGATCTGAAGTTAACAGTAGCATTGTCTTTTGAGCGAAGCGAATCTTAGTCCCTTCTCCCCACCATGTGTCTGCGGATTCGTTGGAGAGTATTCTGTGGGGAGAAGGTTAGGACGAGGGGAAAAGATAGGCATGGATTTTTTGCCCCCTCACCTGTCTCCTCTCCCCCGATTTGAGTCGATCTGTATTGGCCGGCAGGATGCGGGGGAGAGGAGACAGGTAGACTGACTTCGTCAGCCTGATTGACCGTTTCTCCCAATCCTCCTGTCAATTCTCATGTTCTTACTTCACTCGGCTAATCTGTCATGCAAATTACAATGCATGACTATTCCGTCGCTGCGAATTGCTCAAACACTTTATTGATCTGGTCGCGAGTTGTTTCCCCATCGTGGATATAGATCCCGTAGCGAAAATGGAGTTTCTCGCCATTTGGTTTCAAAACTCTGTGATGCGGGTCTTGCTGGTCGTCACGGCCTTTGGTGTAGGCTCCTGACCCGAAGGGATTTACTCCAAACAGTCCATAGTTGCGAACGTGGTAGCGTGACTTCCAGGGATTCTGTGGATGGTCCATCAACGTGACTCCGAAGAGATGGCCATCAATCGGTCCGATGTAATCAACCCAATTGGAAGTCCGCCCCCAGGCCTCTCCCGTTCCTTCAGCTCCATCTGCATTGGTCACAGGACCGCCAGCGACCATCTCACGCATGCTGTTCGGCAGGCGGATGGCAAACATCCCTTCTTTCGTGTCACCTATCTCAACGTTTTGTACGGGAGCAGAGAACGTGACATCGTAGGTCATCAACCGATTCGCATAGATTTCAACGGTCGTCTCTTCCTTGAGGAGTGGAGCCCCTTCAGCATCAACCCAATGATTGACGGTTTTCAGGACTGCGGGATTTCCACTCTGTTTGACGACTTCGACAGAGATGTTTTTGATGGTGCCGTCTTCATTCCAGAATTTAATGCCATTAATTTCATCGACAGAGAGCCAAATTCCTTTGTGATGGGGATGGTCGTAATACAACGGGTCCTTACGATCTTTGACCTTCACTGGATTGTCATTGATCTGACGAGTCACGGTTGAAACCACAGGTGCGACGTCGCTGCGATGAATCCAGAGGTCATGCTCAGGAATTTCGATCCAATTTTCTCTGATCTCACCCGCTTCAAGAATATCTCCCACCTTAAAATCATGCGTACCTTCTTTGAGTCGGGGAGTTTCGTCAGCGACCATGACCCTCCGCCCTGCGGCACCCGGATCTTCGGATGCCTCTGCCTTCTTCAGTAACTCAAAACCTCCTGGACCGGTGACAGGCAGAGCGAATGGTTTTCGTCGGTTTTCGTCAAAACGAAAGACGGCAAAGACATCATCGCCGATGGATGCCTTCACGCTATGTGGATTTTTCTTGAGCGTCACTTCACCTGCAAAGAGTGCGGTGGCCGTAAAAAGACAAGTGAAAAAGATGGTCAGTCGAATAGACATAGAAGCTCCATGGTCGTTCAATCTTGGACTCAATATGTCAATTGAACCTGTTGCAGGAATGCTAGTCAAGTGGCGACCGAAATTTGTCCTCGTGTCAAATTCTCTGCATCTCAGAACGTGGCTGTCCTGGCTGTTTCTCTCTACAATTCCAACATGGCAGGAAATACTTTTGGACAATCGTTTCGTATCACGACCGCCGGCGAAAGCCACGGCCCGGGGAATGTTGTGATTATTGATGGTGTCCCCCCCGGGATCCCGTTGGAAGTTGCTGATCTGATGGTCGATCTGGAACGCCGTCGTCCGGGGCAGAGTAAAATCGTCACGCAGCGTAAAGAACCGGACGAACCGGAGATTCTCTCAGGTGTTTTTGAAGGACGAACCACCGGGACCAGTCTGGCGATCTTGATTCGTAACCAGGATCAGCGCAGCCGGGACTACGGAAACATTAAGAACCTCTACCGACCGGGGCACGCCGATTACAGCTTCGATGCGAAATATGGTTTCAGGGATTATCGGGGAGGAGGCCGCAGCAGTGCCCGCGAAACAACGGCCCGTGTCGCTGCTGGTGCCGTTGCTAAGAAGATATTCGCCGAAGCCTTTGGCGGAGAAGTGATTGGCTATGTCACTCAGGTGGGTCACATCAAAGCCGAGATTCCCGCGCCTCAAGAGGTGACTTTGGAGCAAGTTGAGAAACTGCCAAACGGTGATGCCAATATCGTCCGCTGCCCTGATTTATCTGCCGGCGAAAAAATGATCGAGCTTATTGATGAATGTCGGAAGGCGGGCGATTCAATTGGCGGGGCAGCTGAGGTGGTGGCGAAGAACATCCCTGCGGGTCTCGGGGAGCCAGTCTTTGACAAAATTAAAGCCGACTTCGCCAAGGCACTTTTCTCTCTCCCAGCTGTATTAGGGGTCGAATACGGCATCGGCTTTGGTTGCGTCACAATGCGCGGCAGCGAACATAATGACATCTTTACTGCGACCCAGAATGCAGATAAGCCACATATCTCAACGAAGACCAATCGGCATGGCGGAATGCTCGGCGGCATCACAACGGGAATGCCGATCGTCTTGAGAGCAGCAGTCAAACCGACAAGCAGTTTACCCATCGAACAACCAACGGTGACCCAGTCTGGTGAGGAAGCAACGATTCAAACCAAGGGACGACACGATCCCTGCTTGCTTCCACGCTTCATCCCGATGGCAGAAGCGATGATCGCTATTGTGCTGGCAGACCACTGGCTCCGCTGGTGCGGACAGTCTCGTTCAGTCTCTGTCTATGGTACATCTCAAGGGGTGGATGTTGAGTAGCCATGGAGGAGAACAGCGACAGAACCATTTCAATGGCTCTCCTCTACGTCGCTTTGCTCCTTATCTGGTATTCGGGTGGATTATTGTCTTCTGGGCTCGTTTCTTTCTGACAGAACTGCAGGGAGTCGAACCGGCAGGTCTCGATCGAGTTGACTTTCTCTACCTCGTTCCACAGTTGTTGTGGAATTTCCTCTTTCCCGATCCGACCGGAGAAAGGGGCATGAGTTGGGCCCATCTAGCGCAGCGAGTGCCGATCCTGCTTTACGCCAGTTTTATCGTCTCGTCATGCATGGCGACTGGTACTCATTTAATACGGCTCCTTGATCCGAGTCGGCTGTTGAGTTCCTCTGCGAGAACAGCTTTGGCAGGCGGTATAGGTTATTCCAGCATTTCACTGCTCACGCTCGCTCTGGGGTATGCGGGTTTGCAACACCGCTGGCTTTTTTTCTGCTTGCTTTTGCTGCCCATCGCGACCTTGTTATTTGTAACCCTGCGGAACGGAATCGACACCCAACGTCTTCAGGCAAGCTGGCAACATATTGCCAAGCACCATATTTGGCTAATCGGGTGTCTGGTCATGTTGCTTCCGATGTTATTGGGAGCGATGTTGCCTTCGACCGATTTCGATGTCAAAGAGTATCACCTCGAAGGCCCCAAGGAATACTTTTTGGCGGGGCACATTCATTTCCTGCCCCATAATGTCTACACAAGTTTTCCTTTTCTCACGGAAATGCTATCGCTCTGTAGCATGGTCATTGTTGATGACTGGTTCCTCGGTTCGCTCGTTGGTAAGACAGTCTTGATGAGCTTTGCCCCCATCACTGCCATGGGTGTCTACGCAGTTGGAAAGCATGTCGCTGACAGCAAAGTGGGTATGGCCGCAGCTCTGATCTACCTTTCGACACCTTGGGTCTACCGCATCTCGATCATCGCTTACACCGAGGGAGCGATGTGCTGTTACGTCGTCTTGACTCTCCTGGCATTACTCACCTGGAGAGAAGTGATCGCTCAGGAGCCAAACTCGAAAAACATATCGAGACTCACCTTGCTTGTCGGGCTACTAGCCGGGAGTGCCATCGCGACGAAGTATCCCGGCATGGTGATGGTCGCCATCCCCACTGCTCTGGTGCTGCTATGCGACGTCTTTCGTCATCGTTTGCCAGTGCGACGAATCATGAAACTGGCTTCTTTGTTCATTCTGGGAGGAGTCCTCACCTTTGGCCCGTGGGTAGCGAAGAACTTCGTCGAGACGGGAAATCCTGTTTACCCACTGATGTATTCGGTTTTTGGAGGGGAAGACTGGGATGAAGAACTGAATGAGAAATGGAAGGCAGGCCACGCACGGCCCTCGCCACTCTTCAAATCGCCACCTGAAATGCTGGCTGAACTGAAAAAGTCAGCGTTTGATGTCAGCATGGGGAGTGTCTGGCAGTCGGCACTGATGTTTGGACTGGCACCATTATCTCTTTTTTTACTGCGTCGCCATCGAGGGGCCGTTACCGTTTTGGGGGCGGCTTTTGCCCTCTTGCTCGTCTGGTATACTTTGACACACATGATCGACCGTTTTTGGGTCCCTGTCTTACCGGTCATTGCTGTCCTGGCGGGCCTGGGCTGGCAGGCTCTCTTTAAGAATCTTCTACCATTGAATCATCAAACTCCCCTGGCATTGGTACTCATCCGCAGAGGGCTCATCGTCGTGATGGTGGTGACCTTCGTTTTTAACTTCGCTTTTATGGTCAGCCCAGCGAGTGGAGACAATTCCTACCTGATCGAACTCGATCTCGCCCGTAAGGTTGTCAAGCCAGAATCTGTACAACTCGCTGCTTACCTGGTTGAACCGGGAGATCGGGTCTTGTTTGTCGGAGAGGCAATGGTCTTCGACGCTGAATTTGACTATCGCTACAACACTGTTTTTGACAAATCTCTACTGGAGGAGTGGACTTCGCGGAAAGTTGACCAAAATCGCTGGCAACTTCTCTCCAGTGAGGAGATCCGCCAGAAATTTGAGGATGAAGGAATTACACATCTCGTGATTAACTGGAATGAGATCCTCCGCTACCGCACAACCTACGGCTACACCGATTTCGTCAGTCCCGAGCGAATTAAACAACTCGCCCAACTCTGGCCATTTGAGGAAGTTCAGCTGCCAGACAACTACAACCTGAAAGAATGGGAGAAATTGTCCCCTGCTGAGCAGCATGAAATCGAAACCTGGGGACCAGAACTTAAAAAGATGAACTCCCTGGGGGAACCGATGGTAAAGCAGTATCAACTGTTTCAGCTCACTGATTCGTTAAACGGTCACTCCCCTTGAAATGCTCTAGGCTCATGCAGCAGGCCTGAGGTATAAACAACTTTTGCATTTATCAATCTCCATTTTTCATTAACCATTCCCTTCCACTAGCAGTCGTAGTGCTCTGTCGAGCTTTAAATGATGTCGCGTTGGTTTGTGAATTTGGCACGCTCGTTGGCGTGCAGTCATTCAAAACATACGCGACATTATGAGATAGTTGGAGTAGTAGGGTTCGCTGTGCGGACCATCATCAGTAACGGTCATCTCTTGGATAACTGACGGACCACATCCGTGGGCATTCTTCTCAACACAATCTACGCCGCCTTAATCGGGCTGGTCTCCCCTGCGTTGATCTATCAACGCTGTAAATATGGAAAATACCGCGAAGGCTGGAGTCAAAAGCTGTGGGGCAACTTATCTGTTGAAGATAAGGCTGGACGCAAACGTATCTGGTTTCATGCCGTCAGCGTGGGAGAAGTAATGCAGCTACAGCAAGTGATTGCAAAGCTGAGAGAGCGATTGCCAGAAATCGACATAGTCGTCACCACCACGACACAAACTGGCTATCAAGTGGCGACGGGAAAGCTCACTGATTGCCAGATTGCCTATTTCCCTCTCGATTTTACCTGGAAGAGCGTCGTGCGGTTGTAGTGTTTTTCATGTACATTTACGTCATGTACTGCTACGTCATGTACGCTATCTCTTCTCGCTGAGGCGTCTCGTCAGAAGATTCCGCTACTTCTTATCAATGGACGCCTCAGCGAGAAGAGCTTTCGAGGTTACAGCAAGCTGAAACCTCTCTTTAGGAATCTGTTGAAGCGATTTGACCATCTCGCTGTTCAAACGGAAGAGACGCGTGACCGGTTTGTTACCTTGGGCTGTGACTTTGAACGAATTACCGTCACCGGGTCGATCAAGTTCGATGGTGTCCAAACCGAGCTAGACCGACCAGCTGTGCATGCTTTGCGGGAGTTTTTTCAGGTTGAAGATGATGCTCCGGTTTTCATTGCAGGGAGTACCCAGGCCCCGGAAGAAGAAATGGCCCTGTCAGCGTATCAAGTGGCCAGGCAGACAGTTCCCAATGCACGCTTGATCATTGTTCCTCGACATCCTGAGCGGGGTGATGAAGTAGAACAACTGATCACTCAACAGGGTTTTCCCGTAATACGGCGTTCAAGAGCAAAGGCAGGAGAGGAAGTAGGCTGGGACGCGTCCCAGCATTCATTGGATGACGCTAATTGTACAGAACTTCCTCCGGTAGGCCTGTTGGACACAGTCGGCGAGCTCTCCGACTGCTGGGCCTTGGCTGATGTCGCTTTCGTCGGCGGCAGCTTTGGCAGCCGCGGTGGTCAAAACATGTTGGAACCTGCCGCCTACGGAGCCGCCACCTGCTACGGCCCCAACACCAGAAATTTTCGCCACATCGTCGAACTCTTCGCTGCTAAGGGTGCTGCTGTCACAGTTCATGATCAACAAGAATTGAATCAATTTGTCAGGACCCATCTGAACAATTCAGGGCAGAGAGAAAGCTTAGGCTATCAAGCTCAGCAAGTTGTGTTGGACCAACAGGGGGCGACAACACGGACAGTTGAAATTGTCAAGAGATTCATCAGTAAGAATATGGTGCACTAGAGAAGACAATGAATAGAGGGGGCAATAGCGATCAGCGTAAGGCCCTGAATTGGACGTCCATTTTCTGGGACATCCGCTCCGCTACTGTCCCAGCCACCCGTCACCCGTCACTTAATAAACTTCTTTACAATTGACAACACGCCTGCTTATATTTGGGATAGGTTGTATTCCCAATGCTAACTCACATATGGCTTAGTTGTTCAATTGGCAGTTTTAGAGCATTTTTCGAAGTGGTGTTCACCTGATCGTTGAGTTTGTGTTATCAAGAGCCTGTTCAAGGAGGACTCAGATGGCAAGAGCTTTATCAAACGATTTGCGTGAACGGATTCTGCAAGATTGTGATGCTGGAGAGACCGTTTCGAAGGTGGCGGAAAAGTATCGCGTCTCTGAGCGGACTGTTTACAAATTGCGGAGATTGCGCAGGGAGACGGGCTCTTATGAGCCTCGAACAAGCAGGTGTGGTCGTCGTCCCAAACTCACTCAGCGACGGGAAGATATCGAACGAACGCTGCGGGAGAATCCAAGTCTCACATTGCAAGAACTGATTTCTCAGCTCTCGCTTGATATTTCAGTTTCTGCTCTCTGGAAGACCCTCAAGCGATGGAAGCTGTCGCTGAAAAAAAGTTCCACGCCCCGATGAGCGGCATCGTCCCGATGTTCAGCAGAAACGTCTCTGGTGGCCTGTTCTCCTGAAGCGTTGGAGACGTGACCAACTCGTTTTCCTCGATGAAACAGGTGCCAACACCAAAATGGCTCGCCGTTATGGTTGGGGACTCAAGTCCGAACGAGTCATTGATGACGTCCCCCACGGACATTGGAAGACAACCACATTTGTCGCAGCGCTGAGGACCACGGGGCTGACTGCTCCGACTGTTCTCGACGGGCCGATGAACGGGGAATTCTTCCTCGCCTACGTGCAGCAGCAACTGGTCCCAACATTGATGCATGGCGATCTGGTAGTGATGGACAATCTCAGCAGCCACAAGCAGGTCGGGGTCCGAGAAGCGATCGAATCTGCGGGAGCCGACTTGATGTACTTACCACCATATTCGCCAGACTTGAATCCGATTGAACT